GGGGGGGGGGGGGGGGAGGGGGGATGCGCCTCCTCGTAGCTTCAGGTTGGATCCTCTCCAACGCAGGGCCTCACCCAGTTCGTCGAGGAGAAGGGCTTCGTGAGACGTTCTGTTTGTGTCTCCATGGAGGAAATTGGGGAAGGTCCTCGTTCCGTCGGGGAGGAGGAGGTGTGTCAGGTCTCCCGTCTCTTCTGGGGGCCCGACGAGTCTACTCAAGCATCATCAGCCGCTCACCCTATGATAAGATCATGTGGTTGGTCTGGTTGATTTTCGAGAACAAAGCTCTTGTCATGGCGTCGGCACCTACAGGGACGAGGATCTCCTGATATGTATTAGGTTTATAGTTCCGTGGAGGATGATAGTCGTCCTCGTGCGGTTGTGAGTGGGTTGATGAAGAGGTGGTCAGTCCGTCTTTGTAGTCTTTCTCGGGATCAACCATGTCGTTGTTATTGCCCATGTTGTTTTCGCCAATGTTGTTGTTGTTGGGTTCAGCGAGATGGGTGTTTTGGTTGTCATTGATAGCTTGGTCGGCCATGATAATCATACGGTTTGATGAAGATTTGCTTTGGTCTTGAGAGGGAGACAGCGAAGCTGCTTTCCCACAGACAGTGCCACTGATCGTACCTGATCAGAAGGGATTGTCAAAGCCTACAAGATTCAAGTTGAGTGGCAGTTGAATGTGAAGTAGGGGAGAGGATACCTGCAATACACTCTAATGCTAAAATAAGGTTCAGAGCAAATACAAGCAAGTATGAGAATATGAGTAAGTGATTGAATACCTAACTCTCTCAAATGAGAGGGTATTTATATCCCTCAATGCTGGGCCAAGGTCTTCAGTGATGGGCCACGATGAGGCCCAACAGCAAAGACTGTCAGGGTTTACAGGTGTATGGGATCCAGCACGTGGCCCCCTCCCTGGTCAACTACCCCGAGAAAGCATGAGTTGGACCCGTTATTCTCGGAGGGCAGGACGATGATGATATGGACACGTAAGCTATGTTCTCCTAGTGGACACATGGGGAAATGCCCAACGGTCCTCAGCTTGGGCTGCATGCTTTTGGGCCTTTGTTAAAGGCGCCGAATTGGGTCTCCTCAACGGTGGGGCAAGTGTCGGGCCAGTCTAGAATACACATGAAGATTCTTGCCGCCTCTAAAGGAAATAAATGAATATGGGACTTCCACAGAAAGATCTTCGTCGCCTTTAAAAGAAATACATGAATATTGGACTTCTATAGGAAGATCACTGCTGACTCTTAAGGCAAAATATGAATGATAGACTTCCATGAGAAGATCCTTTCCATATGTGAAAGAAATACATGAATGCTAGACTTCCATAGAAAGATCCTTTACGCCTTTGAAGGAAATGCGTGAATGTTGGACTTTCACAAGAAGATCCTTGTCACTTCTGAAGGAAATACATGAGTGATGGACTTCCACAGATAGATCCTTATCTCCCTTATGGGCAAGACAAATGGATCATATGCGGGGGAATAACCTTGTATAAATACCTCGATTGGGAGACTAAGAGTATCGTCAGACAAGCTAATCTAAACGCCTTGCCTGAGGGACTCGACTAAGATTCTCATCAGACATGCTCATCTAAATGCCTCGCCTGAGAGACTCCGCTAAAAGTATTATTTTAAAGGCTTGTCTAAATGTCTCGCCTGAGGGGCTCGATTAAGAGTAACATCAGACACACTCATCTAAATGTATCTCATAAGGACTAAGAGTCTCACCATACATGCTTATCTAAATGCCCTGCATGAGGGGCTCGACTAAGAGTCTCATTATTCAGGATCATATAAATGCCTCGACTAAAGGACTAAGGGTTTCATCAAAGAAATATATAAACGTCTCGTCCGAGTGACTAAATTAAGAGTCTCATCAGATAAATCATCCTTTCAAGTAAGAGTCTCATCAGATCGACTCACCTAAATGTCTCACCCGAGTGACTAAACTAAGATTCTCATCAGATAAGCTCATCTAAACGCCTTACATAAAGGAATCGACTAAGAGTCTCATCAGAAAGACTCATTTAAATGCTTCGTTTGAGGGACTCAACTAAGAGTCTCATCAGACAGGTTGATTCGAGCGCCTCAATTAAAAGTCTCATTAAACATTATCACCTAAACGTCTTACCTGAGAGACTAAGGATTTTATCATACAGTCTCGTCAAAATGCCTCACCCGAGGGACTTGACTAAGAGTATCATTAGACATGATAATATGAGAATCTCACTTGAAAGACTCGACTAAGAGTCACATTAGACAGGCTTGTATGAGCATATCGCTTATAATCCCAAGCTCCCCTGACATAAAGACATTTAACATTTCAGCCTTTACCAAGTCTTCGTGCATGTGAGAGTGTGTAATTATATATTTGTAAATACCCGCAAGGGACGACAGGATGATGTCTCCCCCGTATCACTCACCTAGAGTAGAAGAACATGAGAAGGTGACGTGTCTCAATCCAAAATGGTGCAGTGAAGAAATATGAGGAATAATCTTTGTCTCCCTAAAAAATAAGGAATCAAATGTCCTTTACTAAGTGATTTCTATTTTCGCGAAACCCTAAATCTAGGCTCATAAACCTTTAAAAATACCTCAACTTCAAGGTTGAAGCGACAAATCTCATATTCACAAAAGATACCCATAAAACACAACTTCTCACCCTCGTGAACTTGCTCTAACCCAACATAATACTAGCGTCTCTGACAATCCTTATCAATTAAAGATTGTCACGCATATATACTTTTATTTAGCAAATACATCAATAAACACATATACTAAAAACACGACACTGACAATGACACGTCGACATCGATAATTATTTTAAAAAATAAATAAATTAAACGTAATTATAAATACACAAATACTAATACAAACACACATTTTTCTGGAAAAATCAATGCTACAGAGATTGCAAAAATATCAAATACAACAACTTGCATATCAAGAATAGGTTAATTTTAAAACAAGTATATATTTCAATGTAAAAGTGAGTCTATATTTTATATAATTAGGATGCTCTAAAAGAATTAAAAGTAATATTTCATTCGTTCTAAATAAATTATCATTTTAGCGAATAAATTTTTTTCTAAAATAAGTGACAATTTTTCTTTTTGATATAGTATTAAGTTATATTAAACTTTTAGTTTTAAATTAATATTGTGTGTATGATTTTCAAATTGTTATGTATTATACATTTAAAAAATATATTAATGATACTCAATAGTTGAATTTGAATATTTATTTATTAAATACTTTTTAAATTATAATAAAAAATTCAAGTGAATGGAGTAGTTTAAATAAATGTAATCTATTGGTTTAAAATCCAATTTTTAACAACAACATTTATTTATATTTATATTTATATATTTATGTAAATAAATTTATGATATTTATAAATTAGTTTTAAGAAAAATTAGAAAATTTTAAATAAATATTATTTTGAAATAAATAAAGTACTCTTTAACTACTTATTCGTATCAAGTATTCAAAAAAAAAAAACTCATTTTCTTGAAGAATATTATTAATTTATAAATTTTTAAAACAAAAAAGTTAAAATGTAAAGACATCACTATAAAAAGTTAACACATTAGGAAAGAAACCATAAGTATACAAAAGTGATTCACAAAACCATTCAATAGATCATTATTAGCAAGCTTGTTAATACAAATATTGTCTTTCCTATATAAAAGATGATTCGCAAAACATTTAAATCGAGAGAAGTGAAAGTTAGGTCATCAAAACAAGAACAAAACCGTCTTTAAGAATTAATAAGATGAGTTATATCATATCGCATAACGGCACCATAAAGTTTAGGGTAAAGAGCAAGTTAACCAAAACAACCATAGAAAGCACAGTTGTTTATGTCTTTGAAAATACCACTACATAATTAATGCATGGCCACCAGAGCCTCTAGTTATTGCGCCATATGTTGTTACACGTAATCCTTATAACTAAAATATGGTTGCATTTAGCTTCCTATAGAATTTGAATGATTTTTCTCCAATTGTTCTCTACTATTACTCACTTTTGTATTCATAATCATAATAATGAAAAACAACATGATTTAACAAAGACATATTAGTAAAGTCATTGTTTTTAAAATAGTGTACATAATTTTCAAATACCCCACATGTGACATTCCATAAAAGAAAAGCTTTTATTAAAGAAAAAGGATACTGTAACACATTTGGAAACTTGTAATGCAATACAAGGTGACATTCTATGTCATACTCGGATTTCTCGTGATTCTCATTCACTCCTTATAACTAATGATTAATAGCCACCACCTAACGTACAAAAAGTGATTTCGAATTTTATAAATATTAAATTAATAAATCCTTTCATTATCTTGGTGGGCTGTAGACAAGACACAAAATAAATACTCTTCTAAGTGAAGTCAATATTATGTTTTCCTCTCACTCAAGCAACACATCTATTCAAACACCATAATACCCTTCCCATGCACATTACTATAGATCAAGGTTTTATTTAAAAAACAGTTTTTATTGTAAAAACAAAATAATATCAACAAATATTGATATAGATAGTATTATCACATTTTTATATTAAATAATAAATTATAATTAATTTACATTGTAACGATTATAATTAGTATTGCAATATTTATATTAATTAGAATTGCAAAAAAAAATTTACGTGATTGCAACAGTACCTCAACTGATTTTTAAATCATTGGTATAACACCTTCATAAAAATATCTCTAAATATAACATTTATTTATAAAAATACAATCAATAATCAATATAATATTCTAAATTAAATAATTATAAGATTTATAAATAAAAAAACTAATTTAATCATTGATTTTGTTTGTTCACTTCTAAATATCACCGTTTGTATTATATCATGGTTATTATTGATTATTGTCAATGTCATCTAACATAATCATAAGGGTAATATAGTCATTACATTAAAGTCTTCACCTTGTCTCGTCAACGTGCATCTCACGTGACTTTCCACAACACCAAGTTACGACGACGCTTGAGGCAAAGAGAACGACGTCGTTACGGAAACGCTGTTGTGATCCTTACAACTCAGCGCTTTCAGTATTTTCCATGACACCTTACCGGAGCTCCGATTCACGTCCAAATTCTCACCGGAATCCGAACCTAGAAACATGCTTTTTGAAGGATTCCGGCGAACCTGCCGATTCTTAATATCATTGAGTTCCATCTCCGGCGGAACCTTCATCTTCCCAAACACGAGAGAATACCACCGCGGCTTCATTGCTTTCTTCGCTACTCCCTCCGACGACGCCACGCTTCTAACAGAAGAACCCCGAACAACTTCCGGCGTTTTTGATATCGGAAAACTCAAAGAATGCTCTCTCAACTTACAATAATTAAGCGACCTGTTTCTCATCATGAGACGGTTAGAAGTAGAACCACCGCCGAAATTACTGACACTGCTCGATCGAGTAACAGAGGAAACAGATCCCGATCTCCGGCGATGCATTTGCGGTTTATTCATTTTTTCAACGTTGAGACTTTCTTTCCGTTGTTGTTCCTTAACTAACTCTTTAAACGGCACGAGCTTACCGCGGAAAATGATGTCGTCTGCGGGACACATATCGGAGCTACCACTACTGCTGAAACCGCTGAATAACTCGCTCGATTCCGGCAACGACAATGGCCTGATATTATTTCTCTTAAACGACTTGTCGTCCAAGTTTTCAGAATCTTCGTTAATAGGAAGATCACAGAGAGAAAGAGCTTCTTCTTCGGATTCAGATTCCACGTCAGCAAATTTTGAGTTTTTCATCATATGAACATCTTCTTCTTCTTCCATGGTTGAAGGAAATGGAGAATGAAGAAAACAAATAAGTGTGTGAGAGAATTATTAGTTTCTATATGATTCTAATTTCTATCATATAGTTATATTTAGGTTTGGAGTATATATATGAAAATATTTTGAATTGGACTTTATTTTCGAGGATTTATTTGACGATGGTTTCTAGAATAAAATGGAAAGAGAAAAAAAATGGTGATAACAGTGATAAAGAAAGGTATGTAGAATAATACATGTTATATATAGTTTATATAATAATTCCAATGGGGCAGATATACCCGTGGGTATGTTGTTTTGTTCATTTTAGCATTGCCACGTAAGAAAATAGGCCCACTTAGTACGTACTATAAATCTTTTACAAATACAACATTTGAGCGAGACAAAATAATTGTAAACATATTAATATTATTTGGCTTATTTTGTTGTTAATCATGGTTAAAGTGCAAAACTGCAATTTGTGATAGTATTCAATTTAAACCAAACCCAACAACATATTGAATGTAGTGTGTATATTTAAGCATAATTTGATACTATCAATTAAGACCATGTAATATTTTTTAGTTTTTGTATTAAGTATTGGTTATTGTCTACATTTTATCTTTTCAACATATCTACCGTTTTGATTGATTACTAAAACTTTTATATATATATATTCTTGTGTAAAAACAATAAACGAATAGTTTCTCTATAGGTATAAGGAGAGTCACAATAGGTAGATTTCTGTAGATTATTGATCACACAAATATATGATATTTTTGACTTGATATACATAAAATATTTTTCATACTTTAGTTTAAATTAAATTATTTTATAGGTATTTTGCAGGTATTCATCTATTTTTGCAGATATACATTAAGCTAAACACTTTGGAAGAAATGAAAAAAAAAAGGTGCAAAGATAGCAAAAAGGGCCAAAGAAGAAGAAATCAGTTTAAGCCCATCATAAAGCATGTGAGCACGTATGTGAGCACGTGGCCCACCATGCAAAGGCCTTGACGATCGTCAAGGTGTGATGCCGCTCGTCACAGGAAGTGATGGACCAAGTGACCATCGTCACTTGGACTTGACGAACGTCACAAGCCCACTTTCTTCCTCTTGACCACGTACCCAACGGAAGAAAACCAATTCAAAAGCAAATCCAACGATCATCCTATTTCTTCGATCCACTCAGTCAATGCATGAAGAACGTAACTAATTTAGTGGTCCTATTATTTCTCAAAGGAACACAAAGTGTTCCTACATTACCGAAAACCAACTTATCACACAGGGGTTATAAATAGGACCTTGGACACAACGAACAAGGAGTTCTTTTTTTTGGAGAAACTTTGGAGAATTCATTTTTACTCTAAGCAAATATTCTTTAAGCATTATTCATTTCCCAGCAATTTATATATTTCCTCTAGCATTTATTTTTTCATACGATTACATATGTTCCCGACCGAAACAAAGCCTACAGTTTGTGCAGGAGTGCTTCCATATCCAGAATTATTGTCAGGTTTATGTTTATGAAATTTTATTACTTTTAATCAATATAATCATGTTTATTCTCGTTTGTTCCTGGAATTGTTCTGTGATTTGGTCTGATATTATGTTAGGCTAGAATTCGTATACCGGTATGTAAGGTCACCTAACCAAGGGATCGAGTGACTTAGTTGGGACTATTTTTACTATAAAACCTTCTTTTCTGCTCTAAGTTACTATTTTTAATCATTAAATTGTTTTGTTACGAAAGTGAAGAACAGATAGAGGTTAGGGTCAACAAAGCGGAAGCTTGAGATCTTTTAACTAGACAGTAGTAATTAGGCATTAGCTTAAAATACAACGGAAGCACTTTAAAGTTAATTAAGATTTTATTTAGTTTTCAAAAGGTGTTTTTTAACTCCTGCGAAATGGCAGAAGCGTACGTTAGGACTTAACTGCATAGCCTAGATCAACAAAACGACAGTGTGAGACGAGGGTTTTTAAACTAAATAGGTTTTACTGAAAGCTATTTTGAAAATATAAAGACACCCAATCGGTCGCTAGTTCCCGAGGTTCGACCATTGCATACTGGTAGTTCCGCTCATTGATTATTAAAAATCCAACTTAATTTAGTATTTAGTTTTCCCTACAACCCAATCAAACATTCATTAGCTTTAGATTTGCGAAGTAACAATAGAAGACGGTAGTTCGATTCATCAATCTTTGTGGTTCGATATCTTTTAAAACTACACGACAAGACTGTGCACTTGCAGTCCGAATCATTGGATACTTAAGTACAATCCCGATCAAGTTTTTGGCGCCGTTGTCGGGGACTGATTTAAGTCGATATCACTACTCTTTTGTTACGCAGTAGAGACTAGAGCAAAAACCTCTCTATTTCTTTTCTTATTTGTATGCCAAACACTCGTTCGCAAGGCGAGCCGTTATACATGCAAATCAACGATATCGAGCAGTATCTCAGAATTAGACGCCGCATTCAAGAGTATCATCTCTTTCATAACACTCCACCTCGTGAATCATTCGAATCTCCTGCTCCTCGACCAATAGTCAATATTGTTATTCCGTTGTTGCACCGTATAGACTAAGGCATTCTTGTCCCAATTACTATGTATCACCCAAATTTTTTCTACAACTCCCACTCCGAGTATTTCGAAGAATCAAAAGAATCCCATAAATCCGACCTCGAAATACTATTGGAGAATTTCAATGCGTCACAAACTCATTCTCACCCGAATTACCTTTCCAACTACCAATCCCAAAATTTTGAGGAATCGCAAGAATATTATAATTCCAACCAAACTTATCCTCAACCAAATTTCCCCTACAATCACTACACCCAATATTTTGAGGAGACGCAAGAATCCTATAAATTCGACCTCGAAATATTAATGGAAAATGAAATATCTATGATGAAAGAGCGCTTTGTGGAAACACAAAATGTGACTCTAACTCACTTTAAAGAATCAGAAGAATCGCATGATTTCAACTTCGAAACATTAATGGAGGATTCTGATCGACGCTAATTCACTCTAGGTTAGAATCTATGATGGAGAACTTTGTAGAGACACAAACTATCCAGAACGAAGAGTCTAGAAAACAAAGTCTTCAAAATAGTGAAAACCTTAGGCAACTGACCACTGTGGTTGAGTCGCTCGCGACTCACGACATAGCCTTAGAGACTCAAATCTACCAGCTTGAACAAAACCCTCTAGGACCCTTCCCTGAGGAGAAATTGGATGTTGTAACAACCAGTAGTGAAAAAAAATTATAAATCCTAAGGAGAGTGATAATGAGGTTGAGGAGAGTGATGATATGGTTGAGGAGAGTTCGGACGAGAAAAGGGTAAGGATTGAGAAAAATCCTCCAACACCATTTAAAAGGGAGGTTGTAGAAAAGGTAGAGAAGGAAGCACCTATTGTTGTTCCTCGTCCCTATACCCCACTGATTCCTTTCTCGAAAAGTTTTATGGAAGCTCATATAGACTCCCAATCTAAAACGTGTATGGAGGTATTGGAAAATATCCACACCAACGCACCCTTGTTTGAAGTCTTGCATAAAAAGAGAAAATTAGAGGACCATAAAACTATGGATATTATTAGTGTTAAGAGGGTAAGGGTAACCTTTGAGGTGGTGGATGAAATCACTAAGCCCAAACATGAAAAGTTGATACTCAGGATAGATCCAGAACCACCACCACAAGTTCAGAAGAATGAACCACCCCACAGAAGAAAGAAAAGAAAAGGTGAGGGATATGTGAGATGGCTTGATAAGTGGCCATGGAAAATGACAACTACTAAAAGTTCAACCGAGGAGTCATCCTCGAGAGAACCATCATGAGTGCTTGCACTCTTGAGCCATCAAGCTAACGACATTAAACAAGCGCTGTGTGGGAGGCAACCCACAAGTTTTTCATTTAATTTTTATCTTTAATTAAATTATTTCTTATTTATTTCTTATTTTCTATTTTGATTATCACTCCTCTGATTCTACTATGTGCCACTAACTATTCACATAGATATATATCCCTTGTAACACCACTCAAACTATATGAATTAGTTAATTAATAAATTTTTGTTTTACTGCACGCGGTCAAACAAAGGCTCAGACACTCTGCACGCACCATTACACCCTGACGAACATCAGGAAGCATGTGACGAGCGTCAGAGCTTGTCTCTTTGACCTTGACGAACGTCAGGGAAAGCGTGATGAGCGTCAGAAGCCTGTATCCCACAATTTCTTCCAGTGACCGTTGAATCATTGAAACTTGAACGAAATTTTACTTTAAAACCCCCACTACCCCATTACTCCATACACCCTTAACTTCCATAACCTCTCATATTCATAATTATCCCATAAACCTCATTCAATTTCCTACTCAGTAAAATCCATCTATTTAAACCCTTCTCCCATCCCTTAGTTTTCATCACTACCACCCACCTTCCATCTCTTCATCACATATACATTTTCTTCTCTATCAAGTTCAAAATCATGGCCGCCCGAAGGAATCCACCAAACCAAGCAGAACTCGACATGCACCATCTCGTGCTCCGACATGGAGAAATAGGCGAACTCCAAAAGGAAAGGTACATAAAATTCCATCGTTGAGGTTTGACATCCACTAGGTTCTTCGATGACAACTGATTGCAAGAATTGGGGTTGCGAACCCATATACAAGGCTTGCTGGACAAAGCTGGCCTGAGCTTTATAAGCACGATGAACACACCAACCTACGAAGCTCTAACATTGGAATTCTTGAGTTCCTACGCCTATCACACTCGCGACGATGCTGACGCACACCTAACGGGAGCCGCTCAATTTCGGATGTTCAACCGAGAATACACACTTAGCCATGAAAATTTGAGCGAAATATTTCGTTTTCCCCGTGGAAATAATGTGCAATATCGCATTCCCCAGGAATTGGATTGGAATGGAAGTGCATACGCACTATGGGAGAGAATAACCGGTGAACCAAATGTTATTCCCGAAGCACGTTACGCCTCTCACATTCACAACCCGAAC